GAAAAAAAATGAAAATGATTTGTCGCTGTTTCTTTCTTTATTTCTGAACTTTTCTGGACAGAAAACTTTGGCTACCGAACCATGGAGTTTTTACATAAAACACTAGAAGAGAGAGAGAAGAAGAGGAAACCAGTTACACACATCATTCTGTTGTTGCTTAGGCAATCAAACCAGTGAGAACCACCAAAAGAAGGAAAAGAGAGATTGAAGAAATGGTCAAATCGTTTGCTTCTTTAACTTTCAAATTTTGCTTTTGCTTTTTACTGTTATTGTTACTTTACTCTTTTTTTTTCAGCGTGTTGGAAGATGGAAATTTGTTGAAACCCCAAAAAATGTTTATGCTTCACTAGCTTCTTCGCCAGCATCATCCAATGGACCTGAAACTAATGGCTTTTTTTCGTTGACAGAACCTCACTCAAACTTACATATTGTGTGCAGTGGGCTAGCTAATTCACTATGTGTGCCAATCCTTCATGACTGATCAAAACCAGCAAGGAGACAGAACAACAGGATATCATAAGAAGTAGTAGTTGTTAATGCAAAAAGAACTGAACAGAAGAGGATGAAAACAGTAACGACAAAATAAAGAAACAAAAACGAAAAAAAAAAACAAAAAGATCAAAAGTGCAACTTGCAATAAAAACCAAATAAACTAAAATTGAAAAAGTAACCGCTTTTTTTTCGCATTTACACTAGTTAATAAACACTGAACAATTCTTTGAGTATAACAATGCACTGTTGTTTATTCTTGATTTTGTTCGTCGGACAAAACAACAACAACAACAACACAAAAGAGCTGGATAAACCCTGAGTATATGTTGAGGAAAGCGAAGAGTTCTGTTACAACCGATTTAGTCCGGTTTAGATTAGAATAAAAAAAGAAAGAGGGTAGGAAGGTTAAGAAGTCGGTGAGCAGAAAAGGAAGAAATAAACAGAATGACCTTTTCCTGATGTTCACCAACTAAAATAAAGTTTCCATTTTTCAAAGAAAAATCACACCGAGTAAACACCTGTTTTCAGTAAGCATATAAGCGATCAGATAAGGAACTCAGTGATAGCAGTAGCAACAAAAAAGTATTAAAGGAAAAGATGCAGGCAGACGAACAAACAATCAATTAGACAAACAAACATACATACAGTGCGCGTATTAATTCAACAAAAATTGATTGGTTAAACGACCCGAGAGGGTTAACACATGTTCAGCACAGAAAAAAAAAAAGGAAGGACTTCTCAAATCTCTTCAAGACTTAGTAAAAGGCGAAGTGGAAAGGAAGAACACATATTTCGTATAACAAGTGCATTAAGCGGAAAAATCTAAAACCGAAAAAATCTTTCTGATTTAAAACGGCCCAACGACAAAAAATTATCTGAAAAAATTAAAACAGGATTAACAAACTTTCGCCAATAAAATCCAAGCAAAAGCTTTCATTATTTCATTTCTCATTTAACAAAGAACAAGTAAAGGATTCCAAGTTTAAAACAAAAAGAACACTCTCTTTGACGTAGGAGATTAAGATAAAGAAGAGAGAAAAGTGAGGGGAAAACGATCACCATTAAACGATAAAAAACTCTATTTTCAACAATGAGCAGGAAAATCCTGCAGAGGAAAAAAACTGAAGCTTTTCAAATGGCGATTTCAAAACCTACAGCAGTATTATCATTGGTACCTACTGGAACTCGGGAAAAAATCTGAAAGACTTTTCATGCGAAAATCAAAACAAAAAATGCAAACAAGAGAAACAGTTAGTATACCAAAAAAACTTTTTCCATTGAAAACAGTCAGGATTGATAATCAAAACAAAAAAAAAAAATAAAAAAAAAATAAAAACATTCTGAACAGAGTTGCCTTTTTTAGTAAAGTTGGTACTACAAAAAAAAAAAAAAAAAACGCCATTCAGTTGTTTAAAGTATACCCATTTTTTCTAATTTATTCCGTTCCCGCAGGCAATACTACAAAATTCACACCGTAAATGTTCCTTATAAGAATGAAATGCCCATATACATTCAAATTCATCCTGTTCATGACCTTTTTTTCAGCTGCTTTTCTTCTTGGGAAGATAAAATTTTTTATGAATTAGCAACTCTGCTCACAAATTAAACCGTTTACGAGCACCGATCATTTGTAAATTTCTACAGAACATGACTATTTTTCAGTGTGACAGTCAGTATTTGCAAAAATATTTCATTCTGCTGTACCGTCATCATCCCCTAAAAATTCTGACAGTAAACACATTGGACCAGTTAAAACAAAAAAACAGTAGAAGTGCTTCTCTTGAGCCGCAAAAAAAGTAAGAAGAAACAATTAACACACTGTTGGCACGCATTACTCATGCGAAATTAGGCAGTGGAATGTCATTTAGGTGGCACCAGAACAAATAATCACTTATTTGTAAGAACAGAAATAGTAATTGAAATTAAAAAAAAAACCAACAAGAAAAACGACAACAAAAATGACACTGCAAATTTTTCACCAATTTGAAATTTAGAGCCAAAAAGTAAAAAAACTTCTTTAAAAAAATTCGATATGCTAACTTGCAAAAAGTTAGTGTCAAAGAAAGAACAGAACAAAATTGGAAAACTGGTGATAAATTAAAAATCAAAAACCAAATGAAACGGATTAAAAGCCTATGACTTCTATAAAAAATGGTGCAGGTTTTGCAGAAAATGCCGATATTTTAATTCAAACAACTTGACTCTAGAAAGAATAAGACTGAAAATAAAAGGCTAACCTTCAATGTTAAGAGTGAGTTCAACGTTGGCTTCACCGGCTTCATTCCTAATGTTGCAAGTGTACGTTCCAGTGTCTTTGGCTTTGTAATTCTAAAAACTACCAGTCAATTTTCATAAGCAACAGATCAGTAGAATTTAAAATATAAAATTTATCTCAACAGTGTCTTAAAGGTTACTGCAATAGTTAACACCAAAAACAGGTGCTAAACAATAACCTTGAGCTCCAAAAGAGCAGTATAAGTGTTGGCACCACCATCTGGGGACAATCCAAACTTAATTCGACTTGATTCCTTCATCTTCTTGCCTTTCGGATTCAACCAGATGACCTGTAAAAAAAACTTTAATGAAAACTACTTTTTTCCACTTAAAAAGGACTGAAATTTGCACTGAAACTGGTTGCAAACTAGTTGCTTCCAAACTAACCTCAGGATTTTGGTCAGCCTGAAATCCAATATCAAATACAATTGCCGGATCTCCTGAATCTGAAGTCTTCTGCAAGATCTGGGGCTTGCGAGTGAAGGTAGGAGCTCCTTGTGGAACTAAAATACTGGTGTATAATTGCTTTACCACTTCTGATTTGCAAGGGCTGATGAAGAAGGTAAATATTCTGCAAGTAGGCAACAAACCTTCAAACTTCACAGTAAATGTAGCGGTAAGTTTTCCTGATTCGTTTTTCGCTGTGCATACAAATTGGCCAGCGTCCTTTTCTTTGGTTGGCTCCTAAAACAAATCACAAAAATTCTCGGAATAAAGAGATATTAAAATAATTGAGAGTAGAACATTTAACTTTTCTAATACTTATAAAGTATGGATTATAACGAAGTGTAACTTGCTCAATACCTTGATCTCAAGAGCAGCATAGTAGATCTGGTTGGCTTCCTCCTTCAAAATAATCTTGACGCGATCAGATTCCGCAACTATTTCGTCACCCTAAAAAGAGCAGCTCGTGGAATTCATATTGAGCTTGAATTGTTAAACTAAGTTATCAGTTCAGTAGAGAGTTCACTGTCTCACAAAACAAAAAAATCTTCTATTCAATAAAATCATTGAAAGTATAACGACAAAAACCTTTTGCCAGACGAATGTCGGCTTCAAGATGGACTTAGCGCGAAATTCCATGACCATAATTTGTCCATCGTCGCGGGAAGAAATTTGTGGCTTCTCAATAAACGTTGGTGCACTGAATCCTATAAATAGTAATGCGGTATTAATAAATTGTTTTTCAGTGTTAGCTATTCTTTTTCTTTTTCTGAATAAACATCTGTTCTACCTGTAAGCTTGAGGTTGAAATTAGCATTGCCCTTGCCATGAGGGTTCACAATTGCGCATCGGTACGCTCCTGCATCGCTATCAGCCAAATCCTACAGAATGCCAATGATTTTGAGCATCAAAAACTTTCTCCCAAACTAAATCGAATGAAAAAACATTCATAATTGAATAAACTGCATGTGTGAATACATTTCAGAATTACTTTGATTTGCAGAATGGCAGAATACGAGTCATTCCCCTTATTATCCAGGCGAAAACTAAAACGGCCATCCTGTTTAAGCTCTGTCTAAAGAAGTGGGAGAAATTAGCAATTTACTAATTACGAAACGAACAATGAAAAGGTTTATGATAAATAAAAAACTAACAATAAATGAAAAAATATTGAACAAATTTTGCGCTGCAATAAATGTTGTAAAAAGTTACGCAGATGTGTTGCTATCAATTTCATTCCTTCATTTACTAAAGTCTTATTTCGCCAGAGGAGAAGATATTAATATCTACTCAGTAAATGCTACAAACGTTTTTGCACGTATATTCAAGATTATACAAACGCGTTGTATGAAGGATGAATGTTAAAGGTGCAATTTTCAAAAATATCACAAGCTTGATACGTTTGATAACAATGAGCTTAGGACGAAAGATTGGAATTATAGCCAAGAGATGTATGTTTTATTATTTCACTTAAATCAGATACCACTTGCTGAATGCAATTCAATTTAACCAATTACCGTATCGTAGAACCATTTGATGTCGGGTACAGGTTGTGCTTCTAGGAAGCATTCCAATTCCAAGGATCCATCGTCGTTTTGGCGAGCGACTGGTTGCTGAGGAAAATGAGGAGCCTTGCCCTCCGGCATATTTCAATGTGCTATTCTTCCTGAAATATAGTGGATAGCAATAAGATTCCAGTATATCGACAAACAGTCGTATAGACAATGAATAACAGAACGCAGTCAGATAACAATTTACTATTGGAACGGAATGGTGAATAAAATTACAAGTCAGTAAAATATGCATTAGAATTGATGGGGATCTCGTCACCAGGAAAAAAAAAAAGTAGGAATGTGTTTTAAATTTAAAAATTATTTTCAAAGCTTACGCTTTACAAAAAAAAAAAAAAGAAAATGCGAACTGTATAAGAAATTAAAAGAAGAATATCGAAGAGAAGAGAGAACAATCGCTAAACTAGTTGAAGACAATAATCAAGACTGAGAGTAGTAGTTTTTACTTTTGATTAACTATCTGTGTAATGACAGGATACGGCTGACGAGAGGAAGAAGATGCAACGGCAGAAGCAGTACTAACAGAAGTATTAGTAGTAGTTATAGAAGGAGATTTGTTGGCGGGGAAGGAGTAGGAGGGCGATCTGCGGCTGTAGAACAACACAAGTGGTCGTAAGAGCGAAGGCTGAACGGTACCGAAGGATCTTCTTATCCTCCTCGGCAATTCGCTCAGACAGCCCAAGTCAATCAGTCCGCCAGCTAGCAACTGTGGCTGCATTTCGCCTCCTATACACTTCAGCAGTTTTGCGGATTTGTATTTGTTGCTGTAGCTTTTTCCAATAGTTCATCATCCTCCCGTTCTCACCATCGACAGCAGCATCGTCATCATCAGCCATCCATTCATCTATCTATCCGTACGTTCCAATCTCTCTATTCACTTAGAATTTCAGTGGGAAAGACGATGGGCATGCGGGGTTTAGGTGAGAATACAAAGATAAAAAGTTAAATTTCAAAAAAAAAATCTTTTTAACTTGGTTTTATTGACAGAACACATCAAAACGGCTTCTTTTCAGGTGAAAGCAATAAGAATTGAAGATATTCTAACTTGCTTGTAATGAGAAAAGAAAAAAACTTTTACTTTTTGTTCAACTAGGAGAGCTATCTTCAAAGTTCGATTCATTTTCGTTTCTGCTGTGTCTAGCTGGAACTGATTTATACACAACATAGACACACATTTTTTTTCCATCCCTGCTAAACAGTTTTGCTTCAGCTTACTGTTCTGCAGATACGTATCATCAACATACAGACACAGACAGACACACGCCAACTCAACTACAAAATCACCCACGCTGTTCTTCAGACGATTAGTATGCGGCAAAGGGCCAATACAAAGTTGTGAAAAAGCATAATGTGAAAAGAGCCAAAAAGGATTATCTGAAGTTGTAAAATGGATCGTAAAAAAGCGGAAAAAAATTACTGGCTTTTTTCTTACCACCTATGCGTTCTTTATATTTGTAGCTGCACAGTTTTAAGGCTATACATCAGTACTAACTGTAGGCAAAAAGAAACAACCCATAATAAATAACGAAAAACGCTGATACATTTTTGACATATTATAGTTCCAAAAATTCAAATTTATTCAAACACACAAAAAAACTAAAAAAATGAGAAAAAGATGTAGTATTCCAATTTCAATTACGAAAAATGAGGTTGAGGAATAACGCCTGAACGATAACGAAAATAAAAACAGTTCAAGAGGAGCAGGGAGACAAGTTAGGAGGAAAGACAGGAAAGGCAAAGCTGTTGTTCTATCTTACTACAGCTGCTGTATGAGTTTCTAGAAGAGCAAAATTACCGAGCAAAATTTTGTAACGGAGTATGCGGTTTAAACAAAGGAAAGCGAAACAATTATCAACCAGATAAACCACCAATTTTTCTAACCATTGCCCGAAGTCTTCAGCAGTCTTCTTTCAACAGCCCCCCATCAACGACGACGATAGCAGAAACAACAACAACACCAACAGCATACACCGTCACATTATCATTCAATAACAACAAAGTTTTGAGGAGAATTACTCCTCCTTTTTTTCTGATTAATCCGTCGGTTCATCATCGCTCAGTTTAATGTAACAGTTGGTCTCTGTTGCTGTTTATTGTAATTTCTTGCTGCTGCTTTTTCATACTCTCAGCAACAGAGCACTGCCAGCAACTTGCGAATAAACAGTCTGATGATGTTTAGTACTATAAATTGCAAAAATAACGCTCGTTCAGCCAAGGAGATAGCAATCATCACCCACCAACTCCCTGATGCCGTTTTTACTGCCGGCGTCAGTATTGAGGTGTTAGTTGCTGGTCCCAAGAAAACAACTAGCTTGTTGCTGCTGCTGTTGCCGTTGCTGCTGTTGTTGCTAAAATTAGTTAAATCACGGAACAAATAATTCGTCATAGATCTATCCATAAAACTAAAAATTGTTTTATTTATTGCTCATTTTCGTCGTGTACGTTGCATCGAATTTCGGCAACACTGTAACAATTGAATAAGTTTAGTTAGTTTAGTTAACCTAAGTTTATTCTTCTTTTTTTCAGCTACTTTAGAAATGACAAAATATGCCCTTCCGTTGACAGTTAAGATTCATCTGAGCTCATTTGAACTCAGTTTAATACAGTTGAAAAATTAAAAAATCAATTTTTCTTCTGTCCTTCCATAACTCCATAGACTTTTCAAAAGAAGACAGATTAAATGTGCACAGCACAAATATGAAACTGTTATCTATGAACAGTCAGATTATTTTCTTAGTTTTTTGGAAAACATTAGAATCAGCTATAATACAGATACACAATGAGAAATCCACCTTTTCTTTTTTTTTGTGGTCAAGCAATCAAGCAAGAAGATAAATATACAAGCAAATAAATAAATATTATAGAGATAGACAGATTATTAGATAGACAGATAGGTAGATAGGCAGATGGATAAACAGACAGATGGATAGATAGGTAGATAAATACATAGCACACATTCTCAGTCGTGCAAATACATTAAAATTTACATGCCACCCAATATTTCTGCCAAAGTTCTCGTCGAAACCCTCTCCCTCTCTTTTTCCGCTGTAGCTAACAAAATAAAAAAAGAAGTAAAGGAAAAACAAAGAGAAAAAGAGAGTATAAGTTTGAAAGTTTAAAAATCTCGTGATCATAAAAAGTTCTCAAATAAATAAACCCGTCTAAAAGCTGTATCTGAATTTTTTAAAAGCAAAAAATGAACAGATGAAGATGACGAATTCTTTAAAAAAAATTTATCTGAAAAGTCCTGTCAACTATGAAACAAAAAAAAAAAAAAAAGAGTTTATCCCAAGGAACAAAAACAGAAAACACCTCCTTCCGCCCTTAGTCGCCTCCGAAAAAAATTGGAGATGAAATGTGGAACCATTCTACAAACAGTTAATCGAAAAAATCAGAAAGAGGCAGTAACAGCATCAGAAAGCAAGAAAGAGAAAGATATAGAGAACCAAAAAAGAAAGAAAACAAACACCCAAAGTTCCTTCCTTTTGCGTGCAACAACTGAGCATAGTTAGCGGTTATAAACCGATGCCTTTTCTCAACTGCTACTCTTTTACTCTCACTTGTTTTCTCGATTCTGTTCCTCCCTACTGGCACAACTTTGATAGGTGAATAGCGCTTAGCCCACGTATTTCAAACAAATTTTTATCTCTACAAATTTTCCCTGGTTCTTCTTAAATAAATTCTGTAAAAGTGCTGCCTGAAATAACATTACAATGGTCTATAATCTGAAAAAAGAACAGTAAATTAATTGCAAACAAAGTGAAAAAAATTTGAAATTTTTTGACTATTAAAAGTCAAAAGATGCCTAAACGTTCAATGCACAGTAGTGCAACACGATTACTGTATGAAAAGGGTTTAAAGTTTTTCTTCCAAAAAGTTAATGTTGGCCGTAACTTGGTTTCTTTTCATTTTTGTAACTCCGTCAAGTGTATATTCACGTCGCCCTTCGTCTCCTGTAGCGACTGAAACCTATTATGGCAGATAAGTATTCTTGACAACAATTAATGAATGAAAGATTTTCTTCTAAGGAATGTATGACCGAAAAAACAGCTGCAATTTAGACTGTACAGCCACTCAGTTCAAAGTAAAAGAAACATTAAAAACAGCCGAAGAACGACATAGAACACGTCAACACCGTGAGCTAAATTTGGAATTTAGTGAAACAACTTTAAAATCGATCTAATTACTGATTTCTGTCATCCGCTGATCATCGTCAACAAAAAATTATGGAATGGTTAATTAGCCAAAACAATGACAATGAGGTAGAAAGAGATGGGTTCTGCAAGGGATGACAGATAGTCGAAAAGCCGAAAACAGCAAAACATCAACGGTAATGCGCAGTCGCACGAGCACACAAGCAAACAGACAAGAGAAGAATTTAATAAAACAGATAGCCATCAGCAGCACTTTTACTAAACACATTCACAGCATGGCTCAGCTGGTTTTGTGGTTAGCCAAAAAAAAAAAAAAAAAAAAACGACGTCAAAGTATGATCGTTCTTTTTTTTTCGTCCATTTTTTTAAAGATTTTCGAGGAAAACGAGAAAAGATACTACACTATCGTCTCTTTAGTGCTTTGAGCACACATCCAGCACGTAATGAACAGACTACATGGAATACATCAATCAAAAAAAAACTAGTATTTTTGTTGACTATGACAAAACGCTCAAAATCGTGATCCATCGTCTTTTTCTAAACAAAAATGCAAATGCAACTGCAAATGCAAATAAAAATAAAAGTAAAAAAATATAAATATAAATATAAATATAAATATGGATACAAATACAAATATAAGTATATAAATATATATATAAAAGTTAAAAAGCACTTTCAAAAAAACTTTTTTCACCAACATTAGTCCCTTTCAGTGTTATAATTTCCTGGCTGAAAAATAAATATCCGTCCAGTAGCACAGAGGAGAAATCATTTTACACTGATAAAAAAATTACATCCGTAAAATCGTTTTCCCTTGCTTTCTTTCCTCCATTCTTTTCTTCGGGTAAATAAATAACAAAGGTTCTTTTTTGTTCTTTTTTTCGCAGCAGAAATTTTATTTCTACTTCTGAAAAAAAAAAA